CATATCATTATGCATTTGTCAAAACCCATAGAATGTACAGTATCAAGAGTGAACCCTAATGTAAACTATGGACTTCGATTAATAATAATGTGTCCATGTTGGTTCATCGATTGCACCAAATATGCCACACTGATGAGGGATGTTGAGGATAGGGGAGTATATATGTGTGGGTGGGGAGGGCTATGTGCAAACTCTCTGTATTTTCTGCTTAATTCTGCTGTGAACCTGAAATGGCTCTAAAAACTAAAGTCTATTAATTTTTTAAAAACTAATAATTAATTAATTAATTAATTTAAAAAGCTCAGGCTTTGGGCTCAGACCTACATGAGTTTTATTTCTGATTTATTAGGTGGGTAACTTAACCTCTCCAGAGGTTTCATCTTCAACTTTCTCATCTGTAAAATAGGGATGATGCCACCTTCCCCAAAAAGTGAGATTTTTTTCAAAAGCTCAGCTGCTCAGTAAGTGATAGGAGGAAAAAGAGGAAATATATTTGGGAGGCACTGAGACTAGCTCTCTGCCTGAGTCTCTTCCCTGCTCTCTCTATATACTCTAGACTCCTCTACCTCTCAAATATCAGGAAAATAAAGTGTATGGACAAATGAAAATGTCAGTGCCCCAAGCAGAGAGTGTTGCTATCTTCAAATTCTAAATGGCTTTATGTTTATTATTAAGTGTATGAAAGATACCTTATCTTGCCAATGTATTATTGACTAGTGTCTGAGTCTTTTTATTATTCCATAATTTATACAGCTTGAAATATACATTACAATGAAGAGAAATTTTTAAGTCATGATTTCTGAAACCAAGTGTTTAGGTCCTTGATAATACTGTATTTAATCTCATAAAAGATAAAAAAGTAAATATTAAAAACCTCATAAATCTTATCTAAAATTATGTGCATATCTCCCTCCCCTCACCTGCCAATTTGGCTAAATAATAGAAGCAAAAAATTTGAAATGTATAATAAAGAAAAATCAATTTAGAGGGAATAGTATGTACTATTAAAAGAAATTTTAAAAAAAGACAAGTTAGTCCAAAGTCAGGCAGTTCAGCAGAAATATCAACTGGTTTTCATTATCACATAGATTCAGTAGCTCTCTGACTGAATTTACCAACAGCCACATTAGAATCTTTTAATTCAACTGCATTACTCTCTGCTTAAGAGAACTTAAATGCTTTTAATGATGTCATGAAATACCTTGGTCTTACTAAGTGCAATACACCTATAGACTTGGACAGAATGGTTTCCCCCTCCCCATTCTCTGACTTAATAGAAAAAATACTTGGTTCATTTTATTCTTTTAGCAAATATTTATTGAGCTATAGTAGTGAATAGATAAAGTCCTTGTTCTCTCTGAGCTTACAGTCTAGTAAAAAATACTAGTGAACATTTATTGAGCATTGGGCACATGCGAGGCACTATGCTATGTACCCTTCATGCATTTATCTGTGGGGTTCTAGTCCAAACTCTACTTGTAACCAACTAGCCATACAAACTTGGGCAGTTCACTTAATTTCTTAAAACTATTTTCTTCATACATAAAACAAGACTAGATGAGCTCTTAAGATCCCTTAGAAGTCAAAAATTTGGTGAATCTATAAAGACAAGGCAGCTGCCTAACAGTCATATTCTCAGGATATGGCAGTAGCCAAGATAGGGTTCTCTTATTACACACAGTCCTCCACCAACATATAAATGAGCCAGTAAGAACTCTCCTAATAATATAGAACATTGCATTCTATGTTCCTTAGGTCTACTTTCTTCCCCACCCCATTTTGTTCCATTACTTAATCTCTATCCACATCCATTTCATAGATGAAAGAGCATAATAGAATCATGAGTCATATAGAAAACTGAAGCTCTGCTATCACATAAAAGGACAGCCTCCTTAACCTCAGCCAGTTTTCATTTCACACCAAGGAAAGAAAATTAAGTGATCAATAATTTAGTTAATCTCTTTAAATATGTAAAATATATTTTGGCAATAACATTGTGCTCCTTGTCATAACATCACACAAAGCTAGTTATAAGAGTATAATATAGTAAAAATCCAGATAAAAACCAGGATAACAATTATACTTCCTGTGCATCTTTTTTCTATTTAGGTTTGATAGCTAAATGTGTTTAAGATTTATTTGCAGTAGGCAAATGGCTGATATTCTCTTAGAGTGACATGGAAAGAAACAGCAGTTGAAAATGTATAAGAAAGAAGAGAATAGGTAATATAGATAATGAGATGAAATCAGTGCAAAAATCAATGAGCCTAATGATTTTCTTTCTTTTTATTGAGGTATATGTAGTTGATGTACAATATTATGTAAGTTTCAGATGTACAACTAATGATTCACAATTTTTAAAGGGTATATTCCATTTGTAGTTATTATGATATGTTAGCTATATTCACTGTGTTATACAATATATCCTTGTAGCTTATTTATTTTATACATAGTTGTTTGTACCTCTTAATCTCCTAATGATTTTTAAAGCAAATTTTCACATTATAATCATTAGTTCACTTTTCCATTTTACTCTGAAATGCATCTTTAAGTTGTTCAAAGTTCAAATGATAATATGAAATTCTATGCATTTTGACTTTTGGAATTGTGTCGTTACAGTGCTAAAAATAAAGATTTTATCAGCTCATGATAAAGGATCTCATGCTGAGGTCAATGTGAAGATTAAAAAAGTCTTAAAATCTACCAAATTGAAAATTTTACGAGGAAAGCGGACATTATATCCAGAATCATGGACTAACAGAGGCTGTACTTGTCCAATCCTCAATCCTGGTGAGCATTAGACTTTCCTAGCTTGATATCTACTGTGTCTCTGCTGATTTGCTCCTTATCTTACATTCTCTGAGCCACAACCTAAATAAACTCAGCAAGAGCATCTCTCCTTTTTGCCATGTGAATTCTGGGGAAAAATCCAAATGGAATTCTTTGAACTGACATCAAAACTTTTCTTCTCTTTTACATGCTCTAAAAAGTAAAATATTTTAAAATCTAGCAATATAATATTCTCTGTCCTAAAAGAGAAGTCTCAGACTGATTGCAGGTCCCAGTAGCAAAGAAAGCACTTTCATGAATTTATCTGCCACTAACATTTTATTGGAAAGCTAGGTCCTGTTACAGTGCCCTGGGTAGAACTTTCTCCCAAAGGAAGTCAAATGTAAAATCCCATCTGTGCAAATAATACTGAATTCATTTTCACTATTGTGTGAGAAGCATCTGTTTCTTCTGGATAGAAAACAACTCTCAAGTTCTCATCATCTTGTTTTTCATCAAACAATCATTGTGGTTTCAAATTAGAAACAGCAAAGACAAACAAACAACAACAACAACAAGAACTACAGACTCTTAGAGAAACTTGGAGTGGAGGGAAATTTGCTCTTTAACATGTTACGGCAAACATGGAGACAAGCAAGTAAGCATGGGATTCTGACCTGTTCACTCTGCAAGTTTACTCTTCATAATGAGTCATAAGTTGCTTATCTCTCTGTCTCCCTCATTAAATTTGAGGATGGGATTTAGATTTTTGATCGTACTATCTCTAGTACCTACCATTAGTACCCAAATAATAGTAATATAGTACCCAGATAATAAGTTCTAGTAAAACAAATAATATATTTTTAAAATCCTCTCTATGTTGTTGTTTATGTAGTTGCCATCTGTGTCTTAATGGCACTGCTGAAACAGGTGCAAAATTTGTGTTCTGGATTTAATTCTTTTCAAATTTAAGTCCAGAAAACCACAATTACGTTAAGAAGAAGTCACTTACAGTCTTTGGTTAATCAATTTGAGAGAAGCAAACAGGTAACTGAGTGAGTGAGAGAAAGAGAGAAACTATCAATAAAATATCCCCCTTAACCTAAACAATTTAAACAGTGGTGTAAAACTCTTGACTTTTTTGACCGTTTACTAATCTAATCTCTCAAACTCTTTTATACCTCTCTGTATTCTATTTAATTAATTTAAATCTTAATAAGGAAAATAAAAAGATATTTTAAATAATAAATATGTTTCCAAAGAACAAATGAAGTAATCAGAACCTTGTATTTTAAATACCAGAGACTGAGAGTCATTCATTAATTTAAGTCTGTTTCCCAATGACCTCTGTCTAGGGGGTCTTCTTATAAGCACTTATACTATCTTGGCAAAAGGAAAAAAAACAATAAAGAATGAAATCCACCCAGTTTTTTAGTAAGACCTTAAAAACAAAAGGTTTGACCATCTGAGCCACCCTCCAGGAAGTGAACTATACTTCCTAATCAGGTTTCTGCCAAACAGAGTAAAAGAATCAACTGAGTTCATCACAAGTGAAAACATAAGCACAGTTATTCAAAGAATTCTTGAAAACATGTTTATTCACTTTGATGAAAAGACTGGAACCTGCCAAAGCAAAACCAGACACTCTTTCATTTCACTTTGTTTTTCCATTTTCACAAGTTCAATAGCTAAGGCCAAAAAAGCTGATAAGAAAACTCTGAAACCTTACACACCAACTTGCTTCCTTTGTTACTTTTGAAAAGGAGTAATCTAGCTGGCTTCCCTGAAAATTCATTCATTCCTACATTAATACATATAGTTACTCATTCATCAATCATATATTTTAGCACATCAAGACTAGCACTAAAGTATTATATTTTCTTTTTCTATGGATACAAAGTAAACTTTGTGCCCTCAAACTTGTCATAAGGTAGATGTCAAAAGCACAGAGATAGGAAAATAAAATGTAAATGCTAATTAGTGATGATGCAACAGGTAACATTGTTTTCCACGTAATTTTTGACATGATGCTATTCCATAATTTATAGATTTAGTGAGCATTATGTTTAGTAGTTTAATTTGTATTTATACTTTAAAGTAATGGCAAACTCCTGTGATATTTGTTCTGTTTATAATTAGAAGTAAACTCATTTAAAATACTAGACTTAACACTGAAATTTTCCTAAAAATTACTTATTGGATTTTCAAATGAGGCTTTTATTATTTTAGAGATTATATAAACAATATCAAGATCACTGTGTTTTAACTAATCTGTCAATCAAATATTGGGATTCTTTTTCATGGAGAAGCTACGGTTATTCTTTAAAGAATTTAAATACTTTACAATCCATCTTACATTTGTGCTCTCCAGTGTTTGAAACCCATGTCACTATTTTCCTTTTTTTTCCCCTGTCTCTTTTTTTGAAAACACCATCATAGCTATTTTTAAGTTTAGGACTGATTTCTTTTAATAATCTTTAAAATGACCCTTTTATTATTATAGAAGAAATACATGTACATTATAGACATTTAGGGGCAATTTTTAAATTTTACACTTTTATCCTCCAGAGATCATCTCTGTTAACATCTTAGTGCAAATCCTTCCAGATCTTTCTCTGTGCATATGTTTATCGTATTTTTTTAACCAAAATGAATTCATAGTATATGCTCCATTCCTTAACCTACTTTATTCAGTTAATGCTCTTTACCTTTAATTTTAGTTTATTTTCATATACTCTATTACTCAGATCATATTCCAATTTCCCAACTGATCCCAAAATGTTCTTTAGAGCTAGTTTGTCCTTGCCAGTATTCAATCCAGGATCACACACTGTATATGGCTTTTAAGTCCTTCAAATCTCTTATTGAAGCAGTTTCTTTTTAGTGTTGAAGAAATTATTGTTGAAGAAACCAGGCCAGGTGCTCTATAAATTATCCTACCTTCTACATTTGTCTGGTTGGTTCTTTGTGGTGTCATTTAGCTTGTCACTCTACTTCCTATATTTCATATAATCTTTAAAGAAAAGCTTGATAGACTCAAGATAACATTTTAGCAAGAATTCATTATATATATTGTTGTGTAATACATGCTAAATTACATCACAAGACACATAGCACCTGGATGACCCACCATAAGGGTTGCTAAACTTGACTCTTGGATTAGAGTGATGACAGTCTGATCTCCATTGGGCAGTTCTGTTTTCCCTTTTGAGACTAGAAAATGATGAGAGTGAGTTACTTAGTCACTATGCAAACATCCAGTTTCCTATTAACCATTCATTTAATGATTTTATCACCAATTGGCAATCCCTTCCTGAATGAATAATTTCACTAGAGTTTAAGAAATACTATTTTTCTAATTTCATCAAATTCTTTTCATTTATTAGTTGACATTATTCTGTAAAGGGACTTTCTCTCCCAACTTGGGCTAGTAGGTTACCATGAAATATAGTTCCCATTATAAAAGCAGGATAAATGCTAAATTCTTTCCTTTTAATTTCCAACTTCCAAAGAAAAGAATGGTTTAAACAGCCATCTCAAGATGACAAGTTAATTTTTCTCTGTATTTCTCTTTTTTGAGTATCATTTTGGAACTTTGGATTTTTGTTGATTCAGTATGTTTCAACATACATATTTATTATAATCTTGGTGCTCAAATGATCACGACTTTGACAAGTTATTAACCCTCTCCTGATGGTTCCTGTGTCCTTTTAAATGATCCCCATTAACCTTTGAAAGCTTCTTTGTTTTTTAGAACAATAAGATATTGCCCATGCTAATCTTGTATTTTCCTGCTGTGGGCCTAGAATAAGCATTTCTCTAAGAAGGCTTGTTTTGTTTTGTTTTTAGTGAGATATGTTATTAGGGACCACATTATGTTTGTTACAGGTGTTCATTCTTACTGGGATGACATTTTTAAAACCATTTCAGTGAATGAACAAGAATATATATATTAAACCATGAGTTTAAATTTATACTTTTCAATTGAATTTTAACATAATCGTGCTTTCTCTTAATGTGAGTTTTAAAGTAAATGTTTCTTTATCTTATATGGGAAAGTTTTATTTTATAAAAATAATTACTTATTTGCTCTATCCTATAATATTACAGAAAATTGTTTCAAAATACCAATATCAATATTACTAGAAACATCAACTGAGGAATATTATCATATTTCTTTTTATTAATGTATAGATAATGAGACTGTCCTTTTGTTTTGTGTGTGTTAGCCAAAATTTTTTACTTGAAGCCTGAAAAGAATTTTGAATTATAGAATCAGCACAAGGTCTGGTCAAGCCTCATCATTTTTTTTAAAGTATATTCCTATATTCCTATATCCTATATTCCAAAATCACATTGACGTTAAATAGGAAATGTGTTATTTTGTATAATCCATAACTCTCTTCCAGTATATTTTCCCAAATGGTTGTTTCACTTTTATAAAATCCTCCTTAATGTACACTAGCACACATAGTGAGTCTCCAAGAAATACTGATATATAGCAGCAAGTTAAGTACTCATAGAATTCTCACTTCTTTACCATAGAGGGTGGTATAGTAAAGAGTAAAAGCTCTACAATCAGACAGGCCTGAGCTTGAGTCAGAGTGCTGTTTCTTACCCGGAAACACTAAACAAGTTTCTTAATCTAGCCAAGTCTCAGTTTCTTCATTTGTAAAATAAGGAGAGGAGAAAAACAATATGTATTTCATAGGGTAATTTTCAAGATGAAATAATACATTTAAATCACTTAGCACATAATAAATATTTACTAAATATCAGCTGTTACTGCCCATGACTCCCTATTTCAAAGATGAATTTTAAAAAAAACCCATAAAACATATATATATAAAGCTGCTGAAGTCACATCTCCTCCCTTTCAAATTACTATACTAATGGCCCCTGATTTTGTTCTCTTTTAGGTCTGGAGTACCTTGTAGCAGGACATGAGGATGTAAGAACAGGCAAACTAGTTGTGAATATGAAAAGTTTTGTCCAGCACTGGAAACCATCTCTTGGAAGAAAAGTCATGGATATTTTGAAAAGAGAGTGCAAGTAGCAATAAATGTGTATAACACATAATGGCACTTCTCTATGTACAAAACACAAGCTTAATGGAAAGGAGACTTCAAAAATGAAACTGGAATTTTCTTTAAGTGCCAAAATATATAGAAATGTTCCAATGCATGGGCCTGTCTAATCTATCTCTTTTGGGCCCCTGTTTAAATACAGTTTGTTTCACAAAGAGGAATGAAAAATCCTATACTGATACCTGTTTTCTATGGAATTGATTCTAAAAGTCATCACTATTAAGAGCATTTAAATAGCAGTATGATATTTAGCAGTAATCCATTAAGGGCAAAGCATCTAACAAGGACTCCTCCCAGCTTCAGATTACGTTATTTACATTTGTGCTACTTGAAGTAATTAATGAGATTTTAAGGAATTCCCAACCCTACTATCAGAAAAGGTGTTTCTTGAAAAGAGCCTTCTCTTGTGTGAAGTGTGTGAACTTTGGTCTATGGGGTGTTAAATGGAACCTCTCCATATGTATATAGTATTTCATTGTAAAAAGCACTTTACTACCTACCACTTGTGTTGTGAAAGTTTAGAGATTGCTGTTGACAGAAAGAAAATAAAAGGGCACGTAAGAAAACCTGCTGAAACAGAAGCACTGCCACTACATGTGGAAAAAAGTAACCATATAAAGGAAGTTGTACTATTTAACCTTGAACACCTGGAGAAACTATGTGAAGATGCAACCTGAAAGGAGAATATGTTTGCATGAAGTCTCAGCTTCAGGCTAGAGGTTAGATTCCACATATACTGGCCACGATGAAACTTTTTATGAAAAACAAGAAGAGACTTTAAAATAAGTGAAAAGAGTTATAAGTGTCGAAATATGCTTGGATGAAGAGGAAATGGACTTTAAATGTTAAAAAGCTCATTTATTTGTAATGCACTTGTATACATTTCAAAAATTATTTTAGACACAGAATTTGTTTTATTTTTATGTTTAGTATTTAAACCTGAATATTGAAACAGTTTCCTCCTTGTCTTTATGAACAGTATATGGCCATTCTATTTACTCACTTTTTGACACAGTGTATGTGATAGTTCACCTACAGTTTTTCATTGTTTTTCCTCTTCTGTACCCATGCATAAATAACCACTATATATACCATTTCTTTTGTACTTGAATATACAAAACGTGAACCACAGTGCCATAAGATTAACTTCACATACAGAAAATATTTTTCCTGAGGTCCTGTGGACTTACAAAAATATATATATATTGCTGTTAATTTTTTTTATATATGTAATAAAGGAATATGATCTCCTGATTTTTGCCTCAATTCCTGATCAACTCTTTGAAAAGATTACTGTCTCTTAATGAGGGAACTCAAATCTAATTCCTTAAATTAAGAAAATCAAACAAGGGCCTGGTGTTTCTACTCTATATTTCTGGGGTTTGGGGATGCAGTGGAAACTAACTCAGATGAATTTAGTTTCTATAGCCATTGGATGTGAACTTTTTTCATCAGATGCATTGCATGTTATATATTACATTAACTTTTCAACTAATTTAAAAAGTAATAAAAGTTCATTGTTGAAAATATAGAAATCCATAATGAGAAAAAAATCTATATTCCAACCATTCTGTGATAACAGCTGTTAGCATTTGAGTTTCAATGCTGCTAGACTGTTTTCTATGCATAGACATACCTTTTACAGAATTGGAATTATACTATATGTACTCTTGTGAAATCTGCTTTTATAACCTGTAGCATGTCTCTCAGCTTCTAACCAATTCCTATCTGGTAGATGAAATGCTATCTTGTAGGCACATTTACAAGCAACTTACAAGATATGTTGGTAAGTATATCATATCAAGAAAATATTTTAAATACATATAATATAGGATTTTCTTAAGCTTCAAAATCACCAAGTTGCCTTCTTTTCCCATTTCACTTTATAAAAAATAATTATTACCCATCAAAAAGAAGAATACAAATAATGTCTATTTTTTTTAAAGAATAGAAAGATGCTCCTAATGTATTATTTAGGGAAAGAAAATTACAGAACAGTACATACAGTATTAGCCCCCAGCCCCAAACACATTTACAATATGTACAGCATTTCAGAAGGTATGAAAGATCACCTTTTACATCACCATTTATTTTGCACATGTCTGCATTGCTTGATTTTCTTTCACTGATCACGTACTGCTTTTGTTTCTTTTTTTTAAACCAATCAAAATTTAATCCATTGTTTTTAAAGCATATTCAAGCAAAATCGTAACTGAAAGTTTAATTTAGCTAATTTACCAAATTGCTAGGCCCCTACATTCTTTCCTGTCCTTTTGATTAGAATCTTCCTTCAGTACTCTGTCAACACCTTTTCTGGCAACATTCCAAAAAGGTGGTCATTGTTATAATCATTTCTTAATGTCTTAATTCTGAAATCACTTACAGCTCTTCCACTGCAGTTTTAAATTCCTAAGAGCATTATTGGCTTCCAAAGTGGGGGGGGGGGGAAGAAAGAAAGAAAAGAAAGAAAGAAAGAAAGAAAAGAAAGAAAGAAAGAAAAGAAAGAAAGAAAGAAAGAAACCCTATGTTTCCCATTTGTAAAAGTAAACAACAAAATGAAGTGTGAGCAAGCCATCCCATGACCCCATTCCCATTCCACCATTCCACCACACTTCTGTACACTTTCTCATCCTTGACAGCTTTCAAAATAACCATCATGATACCAAGGCAACAGAATATATAAAACTTCCATCTATGGCTTCAGATGAACATGAATACTTCCTTCAAGAGCTAGTGGGAGAGTCTCTGACCTCAGAGCTTTAACTCCTTGTACTTTGGGCTTTATCAGTCAGCAGATCAGCTGCATAATCTCTACATACCTATCTGTATAATTTGCCTGAGGTCAGCCCACTCTATGCCCTCTTATTACATCACTTTCTCCATAGAGGAATGTTACTAATATTTAGTCTTTGATGCAATGGAAATTCTCAATAATAGGATAATCTTTTAATAGTGTCTACTAAATGAGGTGAAATCTGTGGGGATGTGACCATGAGTCCAAAAAGCAGTGTTCATCTGGCTATGTTACACAGAGAGCAAGGCCTGTTACGGGTAAACATAGGTTTTTGGGATACTCTGGGTTATTGCAGAACAAATCCTTTTCTAAATGATTAGAGACTTATCAACTCTGAAGGGTGGGAAAAAGAACCTTGAGAATTCCTTGTGCAGGCTGTCCCTGTGCCACTCCCCTGGAATGCCTGAGAACAGGGAGCGTGAGCACTGCCTTGGCTGCTAAGAGTTTTGTCAGAGGCCCCAGGACTGAATTGCTTTTGTGTTCATTGTTTCAATGATAAGCAGTCCCCTAACCTAACTTTATCAAAGAGCCAAAGTTACTCACAACTTATTTCCCACAGCTTGGAAGGAAAATATTTATGAACAACCTCAGTTTTGCAAAGGAGATTGGTATGATAAAAATGGAACAGAAGTAAAGGGGTGTGCCTTGCATGACTGATTTTTTTTTTTAATTTCTCAGAGAATGACTTGTCTGAGAACACTTTTTGAAAAACGATGCCCTTGCTCCTGGCTTTCCTACACTTCCACCACAGAGATTTAAACATTTCTCTACTTTTTGAGCATTACTGACTGTGTTTAAGACCTGCAATATTTTAAATGACAAATTCTCAGCTTTAATATTAGTCAGTTCATACATGCTGAATAACGATAAAAGAAGAATGCTAATTATGAGAGAGAAAGAAATATGCACTGAGCCAAAATAGGTATTTCCAGAATTGAGATGCATGTTCTGTTAAGAGAGGGCTTTAGTAAATGCTGAATACATTGCTACTTCCTTAATAAGTAGTCATAGGTGGGTAACTTCCAAAGTGTGATCATTAGTAATGAATTAATTTATAAATCCAAGAATATCCAAGATTTATGGATGATCAAATCATAATGCATTTATCTGAAAAAAGGGGGTGGCAGCCAGGCAGAGAGTCCTGCTTTCCAGAAAGAAAAATAACCACCATCAGCAAATTTTCAGTGTGAGCAAAATAGTCTGCCCAGAAACTTCCTGGACACCTCCTCCTCAGCCAGGACACCATCAAAGATTTCAAGTTTGATGAATTAAAAGATAAGATAATAACATCAATAGTAATCAATAATTAAGAGTTTATTACAAGAGGGCAATTTTCTATGTGCTTTACATGTGCTATTCTTATTTGATCCTCCTAAGCACCCCTATAGTGCATGCTATTATTATTCCCATTTCCCAGATAAGGAAACTGTGGCACAGAGAGACTAAATGAATGTCCAAGAACACACAGCTAATGAATGTGAAGTCTGGGTTTGAACCACATCTTAACTCCCAGAGTTCACATTTCAACCACTAAAAGGGACATTTAGAAAGGAATCCATGTGAGATGATGCCAACTGCACCTGTTCCTTTTCATCTGTAGTTGAGGGAACCTGAAGGTCAGCATTTCTCCCAGTTTTCCTTCTCCACACTCCAAATTATAATGTATCCCATAATTCTATCCTGCGATTACATAATTTTCTACTATCTTTCTCATTATTACGTTGACATTAGGGTAAAACTGTTTACCATTATACTAAGATGAAATAATAAGAGTCTATTTTTATCATTGCTCTTTTCCTCTTGGTCTGATTTTCTGAGATCTATTTAGGCATAAGGTCCACTTTTGCATTTATCAATAATGAACCTGAATAAGCTCATATGCAATTCAATAGCATTTCAAATCAATTCTCTCAGCTCTGAATTTTGCTGCTTAGAGCAATTCTGCTTGCAAGATGAATGAGAAGGAATTACACCAGAAAGAGACAAGGAAACAGAAAAAAATAGAGAATGTAGGCACTTTGCCACCCAAGGAGAGAGAGCAGGAGGCAAGAAACAAGGGGTAAAGATATAAGAGAATAAAGGAAAGCAAGAGCTGGGAAAGAAACCAGGTTGTCTGTTCTCGTAAGAATATGCAAAATATTTCAAAGTAGAACATACTCAACCAATTCTTCCATTGCTAGATATCATGATTTATATGAGATGGTTCCTAATATTTGTTACAAAATTTATCCATCCAATTCTTTTGCTGTTAGTTATGTTTTAGGAGCCAGAAAAGCTAAAGAAGTTAAAGCAACAGAGAAACCTTAGGTAATGGTAATTAAGAAATTAGGAAACCAATTGGTTTTACCATATATTGAAATATAATTTTAAATTTATGTTTTACAAAGTACATAGTCAACAGATTATTTAATACCAGTAAGCATTGCCTTGGAGTCTTTTCCAATAAGTATACTCATCTTAATAATGGTTATCACTTTTGCCCTTATTGGCTGCAAGGTGCTGTGCTAAGCTTTACATGATTTATCTCCTCAGACCTCACTTAATAACCTTGTGAAGATGGTACTGTTAGTAAGCAGAAATTGAGGACCAGAGGTTAAATACCTTGTCCAAGGTCACCAAACAAGCAGCAAAGCTGGGATTTTAAACCCTGATTTACCTACATTTATAATTCATATTTTTAACCTCTGTGATCTACTGAAGCCTCCAAACCAATGATTCTCAAATAATGTGCATAAAAATCAGCAGACATGCTTGTTAAAGCGCAGAGTCTCAAGCTCCTACCTCAGAATGTCTCTTTCAGAACGTCTGGGTGAGGACCAGGAAGTGACAATTTAATGAGCACCAGTGGTGACTCAGATACAGATGGTCTATAGACAAGACATTGAGAAACACTGTTCTAGACACTCTTACAGAATAGTCTCAACAAAGTCAGAATTATTATTAGTTCTTTTTCTGCAAATGTATCTCCCTCTGGTCATAAATCTACCTGGTCTTCACCACAAATATTATTTTATGGATAACCAAATCATGAGTCTTATTATAGTTACCCAGGAACTAAGATGGTAGAAAAGGGGAATTGAAAGGAGATTCTTCCAACTATTATGTACCCTACTTCTTAACATGGCCTGAAACCGAATTGTAAAACACCTAAATTTGTCTTCGATATTTAGCTCCTCGGTCCATTTTAGGCAAACCCCTCTCAGGTGCTTATTGACTTCACACTGCTCAGAGTCTACACGAAGATGCTACACAAAACTCTGAACTCCCAACTTCCCTACCAGCCTTAAACAGTATACTCACTTGTCAAGATGCTACTCTTGACCAAGAGATTGCTAGATTGATAAGATAAAATAAATCATTCTAATGAGATACTTTCCCATTTTCCTCTTTCTCTGGAACATAATGTTTTATAGACTCAAATAAACCATGCATGTCTACAGAAAACTTTAAATGAGTGATT